AATAACGAAACCCGCTGCGTGTGTATGTTTTCAGTTGTACACTTGGCTAGTTGAAACCCGGTAACTTTGTCCCAGGAGCCGGTTGGTTGACTTTTTAGTTGGCCCTTTTATGAGCGACTAACTAATTAAGATAAGTGTGTCTGATTTTCATATTAATGGCATACAAACGAACCCATTGTGGCGCTCTTATCTTAAATGTTTGGGGCCAAGCTAAAGCGTCAAATGTTGGCCACCTAACATCGCTCCACTGCTCTCCTCTTCGTACCAGATCCCTTCCTAAATCCTTGTGCGTTTTCTGATTTTTCAAACATGAACATGAAAAAGCCAGCGGGGGGTTTTTGGGTACATAAAAATGGTTGAGACCGAGGAGGCTACTGCAGCGGACGTGGCTTACATGAGCATGTGTTTTTAAGCCTCGTTGGGCACAAAACAATTAATATTGTGGGCCGCCCTCAAGCACACCCACCGCTAAGCACAAATCAGCCTCCTGTGAAATGTGAAATGCGAAACACAAAAGCTCGCGCGGTGGCAGCCAACAGCAAGAACAACAGCGACCGGAAACGGAAGCGCACAACTCTTTGCGCGAATTAATCACACAGCAACTACAGCTCCAACTACAACTGCAAATACATGCGAGAACAAGAGCAACAACAGCCGGGAACGCAGTGAGCAGCGGCAAATCAGCAGAGGAGCGACATGGACACGCATATAAAATGTGCCTCGTTGGCGCTTCAGCTTACATTTCCTCACAAATAAAGTGGTACGGTGGAACCCTTCCTAAAATACTTACAAAATATACAATCAAAATATCAATTAAACTCACACACTTCTTTGTAATTCTCAGATTCAGCTGAAACTGATTACCTGTTAAACGCAAGTAAATAATACGAATAACATTTAAAGGAAATATTATATTCATATTTTAATTTATAGATTTTAATTGCCAATATATAATTTAGATTTATAAAATAATTGGTACAGAAGCAATCTGTAATCTATAATTTAAAATCAAATTAGTTTTATTATTAAAATCCCAGTTGTGTAATTACTGGTCGTAAACAAATTTATACCAGAAAACGGGAAATTTTTAGTTGTGTCACTAATAATTTAGAGACAGCGCAAAACAATAAAGACCAAATAACAATTATGCTACTGATTAAAGCATTTTTAAATAAATATTTCTTATAATTAAAGTGAGGGGATGCAAAACATTTTTGTAGAACTGAAAAATGAATTTATGTGGTAAATTCGAAGCCAGTCATTTGGCAAATACAAAAATATTTATATAAAAAAATCAATACGGTATTCACCTGAAATGATAAAATAAATGTGGTTAGCTTAAAATGTTGTCTATTTATTGAATTTAATAGTGTAGAAAAATATGATTTAAAAAATGTATTAGGCTGAGCTATTGTATTTAATAAAAAATTGAATTTAGCATAGAATAAATTAAAGAGTGCCATTTAAATGTAAACCGATTTCGTAAGTCACAACCTACTTTCTTGACCCACGCAATCCATTATCATTTCAATACCTAATCAAATCTGGCACAGGCAATTCCCCTGAGAGGATCTTCACTGTGGCCCAGCTGGAGTGCGGTCACTAACTTGCCCGCCCACCCATGGCCACCGTCTCAGGACCTCCTGCCCACCCACAAACGACAGTGCATGAAGCTAATTAAATATGCGTGCTTTGCCTCAATGCCCCGGCCGCTGAGGGGATTGCGTGCCCAAAGGCTCCAACCGCTGGCCCCTGACCCCTAACCCCCGGCACTCCCCTCGCTCCAATAAAGTCCACTGGCCCACCTTGGCGGGCTTTTATGTCCCACCACCTCCCCCCTCAAGTTTATGGCGGAGTAACGCCCCCCCTTCCCAGGCGTATTCTGTGTGCGCCTATTTCGGGGGCATATTTGCTAATCATTTTACGTGCGACTCGCCTCCCCAAACACCGCGCATCCGTACATACGGTTTATTGTTTTTTAAAACGTAGGCGTGGCCGGTCGACGGAGTGAATTTAACGAGCGGCGGCTGGGACAACGGTCCTTTGTAATGCAAATTAAATAAACATGATTTTTATATGATTTCGCTGTGCGCCGCGTCGTGTGGTGTGATGTGGTGCGAATGCATTGTCCTTGAGCCGTTGTTCGTGCAAGTGTGGCGGTGTCAATTTTATGGGCCGTCAGTCATTTCGCATTTCGCCAAACTCCGAGCTGAGCAACGCCTTCGAGTGTAATTTAATTGAATAATTAAAATTTTTATTGCTGCCGTGTGTGTTTGTGCTGTTTTCCAAGAGGGGCGTGGTGGCGGCGGTGGATATGCAAAGCGTGTCATTTTAATTTACGACCATGACGTTCAGCACTGCCAGATAATAAACACGCTCGCAATTAAGTATACGCCGGGGCGTACTCTTGCACATCCATTGCCAAACATCTCACGCAAACAAAAGTCAATTTCGAAGGGCCGAAAAATAATGTCTAAAATTGGTCAAAAGTATCTAAAGAAGACAAATTTCGTTCTTACGAGGAAAAAGTATGAACCAGTTTTTTAAATGTTTTCAAACTTTAAAAGTATAAGCGCATCAAGCTGTTCAGTTCAGGCATATTTAAAATAAAAAATATTAATTAAATCAATATAAAAATGATTATCATAGCATTTTAAAATCACTGAAAAGTGGTAATTGACTTTTAAAATGTATTATCCGCGCTTTAAATAAATTTTATAAAGAATAAAATATCAAATATTTTCAAAATTCATTTTGCAAAAATTACATAAATATTTTAATAATTCCTTCAATAATAATAAATCTAAGCAATTTTATATTCAATATCAACCAAAATAATTTGCTATACCACTTCCGTTTTGGAAAAAAAAGTGCAGCATAACAACTGAACTCACCAAGACTATTGTTAAATAACTACAAAATAAATCGCAATTTGAATGGGGAATTTAATTTATGCTTTGAATATAGAATTATGCTGGAGAATCTGGAGTGATAATTTTTCTATATACCACAAATTGTGTCGACAGTGTCAAATTCTTTCGTTTTCGTCGAAGATAACAAATTTGGATAACCTAAAATTCCATCTACTATTTTCCGGTTGACAAAACCAGGTTTGTGGTGTTGAAAATGGACCAGTTGACACAATGTAAGTGTGTGCTTAGTTTTGTTGGCACTTGTATTTAGGAACCGAAATTCCAATAGCCTTTGTTACACCCCCACAGTTTCAATAAACAACAATAAAACTGTGCATAAATACAATGCAAATGTAAGCACGTTGCACAAGGATATTCAACTGACAGGCACATCCGCTTTTGCACCCCTAAAAACTGGCATTTCAAATGCATATTTTGCAATTTTTTTTTTGTGCCAAAAAAAAATATACGGGCTTGCAAAATATTACACAACAGTTGAAAGAGTTTTTAAAACGACTCGAAAGCAAAGCACGAATATGTGAAACAGTTTTATTTATTTTATAACCCGCTCAGCGCTTGCATTCGCATAGCATTTTGTATATGTAATTCTATCTGAATATGGATCTGGATCTATGTCCGTCTGTGTCATTTGTTTGAACTCTGTTCCAAAAAAAAAAAGAAAAATGGATAGCAAAAATATAGTATTTAAAAAGCGATTTCATGTTGTTTATATTTGTGTGTGCTCAAAGCTATTGATTGGTTTGGGTCTGTCTCAGAGACATCGGATTTAAATTTTGGCCATTGACGAGGAGGAGAAGGTGGTGGTTAGCAGGTAATCGCGTTGGCCTCCACTAAGTTACATCATTTTTGCATTTGCGAGCAGTGAGCGAGAGAAATGGAATCATGTAATTGTAATTGAAATGAAGTAAGCGTGAATTTCGCATAAAAAAGTACCCTGAAAAGTGACTGCCAGGGCAGCGGGAGCAACGATAAGAGCCCAAACTCTCTGGACAGCTGGGAAATGTTTTATGTTTGTTTCCTTTCAAATCAGTACACTTCCTTTTTGGCCTGGCCTTTCCATCGGTCTGCATCTGCAGCAAAAGGCAGCAAAGGCAGTAAAGGCAGCAGAGGCAGCCAAGGAAAATAAATGAAAATCACTTGAAAATACTAACGAGCTGTTACGCTTGGCAAGAAAAATATAATCAGCAGCATCATGTCTGCAGGTGCACTTAAAAGGCGTTCACTTTTACCCCGCCACGCCCCATCGTTGAGCCAAGAAAAACTGAACCGAACAATGGTATACAAAAAAAAAAAATAGTTGCTTAAACAATTAAAACTAACCTTTTTTGTAGGAAAGGTGAAGGCAGGTCCGAAAACACAATGGCAAATGGAAATGTTTAAGGCCTTAAGCAGGCCCAAAGAAATGGAATCACAGCTTTTGTCCAGCTTTTTCGCGAAGCGGTCCAACCACTTTTGGTAATCCACTCCAATCCACTGCTCTCAACTGAAGGAGTGCTGGTCTTTTTCTTTTCTTTTTTTTTATTTTTGGTCTGCACCTCGTGAAGGCCACCGAAGATCGTGATCGTGGCGAGATCATAATGATGCTGCACTGGGATGATGGCGCGTGCCAAACAGGCGGACTCGACTCGACTAATTCCTTGTCGTTGTCATGGAAAATGACTTTGAACTTTATTGTTTTTCCAAGTGTTTTGCGAGCCGGTTTTGGTTATGATTTGGTTATTACATTTTCTTTCGCTTTGCGATTTGAATTGATCGCGTAACTTAATTCATAAATGCATAGGAAAAGCGCGAGCGAAATGGAAAAATGGCGAAGGAGACAGGCAGCAGGCAACAAAGTCAGGTCAACAAATGGAAAAACACTCACTTTTGGCCGACCGCCTTCTATCAACACTGTTGAAGCTGCAAATTGTGTAAGAGTTTTCCTCTCAGCTCAGATCTGTCCTAGGTTGGGGCCATATAAAAACGCCGTCTCGACCACATTTCGGCCACATTCCCATTGCAGCAGTCGGGCAGCAGCTATCAAGGTCTAATCCCATCCCAGCCAGAGTTCGAAGCCCACCAGGCCAAATGGCGAACGTTAATTTGGTGAGTGTGGAGTGGAATAAAATGGAATGGATTGCAGTGGCGCGGAGTGGAGTTGAGGATATTAAAAATGCATTATGCAAAAATTCTGGAATACAAAGCCATGCCATTCAGCACCTTTTTTTTTAATACGCGATACTCTTGGAAAACAAGGTATACTGTTTGCGGAGTTTTGGAAAAAATGTACTTTTTAATGCTTAAAGATCCTATATTAGGGTTAAATATCGAAACCAGATAATCTAATCGCTTGGATTATTTTTTTTTTGACAAAAAAAGTTCTGTAACAATCCAGTTTGAATGAGAAATAAGTTTCTTTAATTTTTTAAAATTTTTATTTTCCTATTTACATATTTAATTTTAAACAAAATATGTTCTAAGATTTTACAAATATTTTTTATCATTGTAATGATAACGGGGTATTGCAAAGTCGTGTTTTAAATATATTGCTAGTACAACTGAAGTGTTTTGCATATTAAATCGTTTTATATTATCCTCCGCAGCAGATGCCGCTCATTGCAGCCGCCACCACCATTCTGACAATTGTCAGTGGGGCCAGCACCACAGAGGCGGCTAAGAACCACCCACTATATCACAACATGGGCTCTTTGTTCGACAATCGGTGGCTGCCCATGGATCAATCGATGCAGCATCATACCCATCATCATTATGGCTCGCCCAAAATTCCAGGCGGAAATGCAGGCGAAAGACGTGCGTTTAGCAGCAGCAGCCATTCCTCAGGATCCCCGCAAGGATTAGCCACGGTGCTCAATGGGCTCACAAATCTCTCGGGCCTGGGTCACATCACCAATGGTTACGGCTCGATGGCGCCCACCCACACGGAGGCACTGGCCCTGGGCTCCACCAAACAGGAGATACCGATTTACGAGGAGAACAATGAAGATGCCGCAGTGGCCGCAGTTGCAGCAGCTGGTGCCCATGATTTCGGTTCGGGAAATGAGCAATCTGGTGGCGGCCTAGGGAACAATCAACAGCACTCGCCGGCCTACAGTTATCCCACTGCTGTGCACAATGGTGGATATTTGCCTGCCTATGGGCAACAAGGTTCTGGTGCTGAGCAGAGTTACGAATCCTGGCCATCATCGGCGATTGAGGAGCAACCGGAACAGCAGGCGGCTCATCCATATGCGTACGATAAAATTTCAACGAGTAATTTCCTGCCACACTACGAGCAGGGATCTGGATACGATGACCAGCAGGGGCAACTCTACCAGCAACAGCAACAGCAGCAGCATCAGCAGCAACAACTTTACCATCAGCAGCAGCAACTTTACCACCAGCAGCAGCAACTTCAGAAGCAGCAACAGCAACAGGAACAGGATCAGCATTCCTCGTTCTTTAGCCAACATGACCCATCCGCCTCGGGATCCGGTTCGACATCGGCTTCATCTGCCTCGGGCGGATCTGGTGCTGATGACTACGAAGAGCATCCCGATGCTGGCCAGGAGCAGAGCTCCAACTACTTGTCGGAGGCAAGTGGTCATGGCCAGGGTCACACCCATCACTCGCATCATGTGGATATCATTAACTATGTGCCGGTGAAGCATGTGAAGAAGCAGCATGTGCCGGTCGAAAAGGAGGTGAAGATACCCATATCGCATGCGGTTATAATACCAGTTCGCAAGCCAGTTCCCATCCACATACCAATTACCAAGAATGTCCAGGTGGCTGTGGAAAAGGAACTGAAAGTGCCCGTGGAGCGATTGATTCCGGTGCCGGTGGAGAAACACATCCCAGTGCCCGTGGAGAAGCATGTGCCCTATCATGTGGTCAAATATGTGCCCATCAAGGTGCCCAAGCCTTTTCCCGTAAAGGTGCCTGTTTTTAAAACGGTGCTGCACAAGGTCAAGAGCTGGTGGTAGAACCGTTTAGCATACCCATTTTTATGAATCTTTTCCTGCGTTCCTGCATTCCTCATTTGCATTCGGAACACACGAATTTCGTTATAGTTATAAGCACATTACACATACGCCACCGTCCTCCCCGTTAAACCAAAGCGAACATCATTATGCAGTTTTGCACATTTCGTATTCCATTTTTAATGTCGAATTTTAAAATTCATTTAATCCTCATGATGTACAACAATTTTTTGACTCATTTAACATTACAACAATTTGCATTAAAATACAAACACGAACGGAAACAGAAACCGAAACAGAAACTGAATCGGGAAATGGCAAAGCACACACACATATTGCAAGACCAAGGTTTTTAGCAGCAGCGATTTTACGGTGCATTTGTCATGGACATAACCCTTTACCATTTTCCCACTTGGCACCTCATCTCCAACTCCCCCACTCCACCCGTTTTGCCCATGGCCGTCCTCATTTATTTAATTTCACTTTAAGCGCACACAATGAAATTTGTGTTTAATGAAATGAAATTCATCTTCACAAAAGGCTCGCGAGCGTTCTCCACCGTTGTTCTCAGGCTGCCAAATGCCATTTCCAGACCATTACATCGCCAGTTCGGGCCGAAATGTGGGCGGTCTTTGTTGGGATGGGCAGCATCCCAGTCCCTTTGCAGTTGTGGGGTCTGTTCCCGAGTTCCCGGGTCTAATTAAATTAAGTGCACACCTTTGTTGTCGTTGTCTCACTACGCGTTGGCATGCTGCTCGTGCTGGCCCGTGTTCTGTGTCCAGTGTCCTGCGTCACTTGTGCAGCTCTCTACTTTGATTTGCAGCCCGATTGAATTGGCCATGGGACTCCCCATCCCCATTCCCCATTTTTTCTGGTTTGAAAAGTATGCCACAGCTTTTAAATATGCACTGGACAGCGGAGTGACCGGCGGGCAAAACTTACATGCGGAAAGAAAGAGTAACATATCGTTTTCAGTAAATTTTCTTTCCAGCAATCCTTCTTCCCAGCACGCACAGCTTCTTCCTCAAACAGGAAACACCCACTGCAAGAAAAATACAAATGTATTTCATCATTAAATTTACCTATTTCTAAAATATTTTTGAGCTTTATTTTTCGGTTCAAATTAAGTCAGTACATGCGGAAATGTACATTTAAGTTCTTAATAATAATTATTATTTATAATATAAATTAATTTGGCTTTGGGGTTCATACATATATAAATAAAGACACAATTAATTTTTTTTAATTTGAAATCGCCTGTCACTTGCAGCATTTTGTTTTGGTATTTATTAAACAAAATTAAATTAGCAACAATAGTTATTCAAAAAAGCCTTCGGATTAGCAATGTGTACAAATACTGTAAAGTTTGCATGTATATTGTTTTCGAATACAAGATTGCTTGTTTGTCTTTATTTTGAAAATTTTACTTTTCCAAGAATAAAATATATGTAAAATCAATTTTAAAAAAATAAAAAAAAAATGGGTTCTAAATAAAGGAAATTGTCTTAGAAAAGTAGCATTGATAAAAAGAGATTTATTATTATATAAACTGTCCTTTTTCTTTTTTCTAAAATCAAAATTGAAAAATAGTTTCATTATGTGAGTGTATTTTATTCCAAGTGTGTGCCTGGCTTTTCGTCCTTTGTCCTGTGTGTGTCGCTCTCGACTGTTTGCCGTTTGGCGTGGATGCGAAAGCGGATGCGGTTCCTCGGCCCTCACTTGTCAGTCACGCGGCTGTCTGTGACTCTTTGCGCGAACCTCCTCCTCCTCGTCCGCGACTTCCTCCTCGTCCTTTTTCGTCCTGCCACTTGCGACTTGCTACTCTTGCTCCATTTACTGTATATTTTTGATGTCTAAATTGCATTTTATTATGTCGCTCGTTCGAGGAATGGCGGGAAAAAAGGCGAAACTTCTTCGCTTGCCACATATGGGTTCGTTCGTCGATGTCGTTGTTGCTGGCTTTGTTGTTGCGGTTGTAAATTTTATTTATCATTTAGCATTTTTTACGCTCTTTATGCCTCACCAGCCAGTGAGGCGGTTAGTCAGGAAGCAGCCCCACCCAGCGACACACTTTAAGTGACTTTTCGAGTACTTTATTTTGCATACAAAATATTTGCCATGTCGCCATGTGCATGCGTGCGTATACGTAATATCGCTGCCAACTCACTTGGTTGTGTAAGTTGGACTTGCTTCCTCCGTTTCGTTCTTCATCAGGCCGTGTTATGGTGCTTCTCCCTTTTTATTTTACACACTTTTTATGTTAAATTAAACATTTTAAATGTTATTATGATTTTTATTTCGCCGCTTTATTGCTGCCATTTTCGCGATACCACAATATTGTTTTTATTCCGACATAAAGGTATATGATATTTAATTAACTATTTAGTTCTATCTCCGCTTAAATACATATAGAATTGTATTATTAGTTTCTGCACAGTGCGCTTTGCGGTAGACAGAAAATTAATTAATTAAAATTTGAGACAGGAATAGAAAAATCACTGGTCGGGAGATAACGAGCGAACTGCACTAATTATTTTGGCCAAGAACAATATCGGGTGTATGCAATTTGCTGCATTCAAATGTTCAATTAAATAACATTTGTACCTACGAGTATAGAATTTATGTGATCTCTTTGTCAGACAGGTAAAAAGTTCTAAAAATGAGCTTTATTATTTTCAGTTTCATATGTATGGGCTGGCACCCACCATTCACTTCCGCGTGTCAGTAAACAAAATTGTTGGTTTTAATAACGGCCAACTGCATGTGTTCCATGTGGCTAAAAGAGATAGAGAGCGGAATTTCTGGGAGTCAGCTGCCACTACGTTTGCACTTTTATTAAAAAACTTTTGCATAATGAAAGTTTTGAGCTTGCTCTCCAAATTGTAGACGCAATATAAAACTCCCAAAAAAGTTGCGTTCGGTTCGGTTTAGCTATTTATATAAATATTTTGGCAAAACTTTTGCCCAAAAATGATTTTTTGAAGTGTTTATGATGCACAACTCCTAGGCATTGTCTCTATGTGCCCGCCCCCGCCCATTAAATGGCATTCATTTCATTTACGGAAGTTTTTATTGATTGCTGTTTGGATTTTGGTACACGAGGAAAAATATAAATACAAGAATGTTCATCTTTATATTAATTAATGTCCTTGCTTTGTTGAACATTTAGTTTTATAAACTAATTTTGGTCATTGCAACTAAATAAAGCCTAGGGAATATATTCTTTAAGCTAACTTTTTGAGGGTTTTAGAGTTGTTGAACTTTTAGAATTTCCTACTTTGTAATGTTTTTGCAAGATCAAGTCATTTATATAATTTGAATTTAGAAAATATTGAATATGCGGCTGTTTCTTTAATATGAAATTTATACCCAAAACCATTAAAAAATTCAAAATAATTAACATAATTATAATTGGAATAATAATGGCAACTTGTATTAAACTACATTAAAATTTCATAAATTGAAAAAAAGTAGTCTCATTATTCTTATTTTTCTCTGTGTTCGCCCATACCCCGCACTCGCATACTTTTGCCATTTAGGTAGGAATATATATGTTTGCCGGGATGTGCTAACGCCAGTAACAACAATGATGGCTATATAATGGGAATGCGAATTTTTATTGTGGCCACAATGGCTGGCCGGGCTGGGCCGTCTGTGTAATATTAGGAGCACTAAGGAGGCCCGCGATGAGGAGTCTCTCTAAAAGCAATGATACTTTTATCCCCCCATGTCATTGCCACGTAAGTCCGCCACTCAGCGAGATGGCTGGTGGCTCAGTCGCATCCTCTCGGCCGCTGATGGCTGCTGACGGGTGCTCTCATTGTCGCCGTCTTCGGGTGTGGATTTTCGGGATATGCGGCGCTACATGTTATGAATTTTTTAGGGTCCTTGCCGTTGGTCCTGGGAAAACGGCGGCAGCAGGCGGGCAGACAATCATAAAAGCCTCTGGCACGTGCACAGTCGCAATACCCGTGCTCTGAGATTATGTCTACGTTTTGCTCAAATGATTTACACATCGTCTGGGTCTCGGCCTTTCTGCCGTTTTGCCCAACTTTTTGGATGAGCTTGGCTGGGATTGTCCCATCCTGTCTGTAACGCGCTAACGGTATACCAATTACCAATTTGCCACTGCCCTTCGCGGAATTTTCGAATTTGCGATGATGCTCGTCCAGGTTTGGGAGCTTGGCTTTGCGCACCGGAAATTGCCTGACATTGAATGACGGCATTAGCTTGCCACTGGCTTATGCCAATCGCTCTTAAAGCCGACCAACGCTGATTTAAATATTATTTGCAAAACAGATGGCTTGCGTGGGCTTAAAGGTCGCATTCAAATAAGGTCACCAAAGGTGACTTGAAAAGAAAAATGTTAAAAGGTAGAAATAGGCCTTAATCATATGGGCAAATATATTAAATTAAGCATGCCAAAACGAAACAGAAATGTGCTAGAGAAGAAGTTTAAAATATTATTTTACGTCTTCTCTTAAATCAATTAAGCACTATTTATTAATGATTTGTTTATGATTAAGTTAGATGAATTTTAAAATATTTTTACATCTTCTCTTAGAGCAATTTTAGCACTATTTATTAATGATTTGTTTTTGATTTAGTGCGGTTAAAGAACATTAATTATTAGAAATAAATGATCATAAATTAGAAAAGAATAATAAATGCAGCTGCTATTATATTTGTGTGAAATATATCCACTTAAATACGTACATATGTACACGCGTTGGCTTAGAAATAAGTGAAGTCTTTTTAGTTGAAGTCCTTTTAGTTTCTGATATACAATAAAATTTAATCCATTTAATTGTACGCAAACTCAAACTCTCTTCTCATTCAAGTTGTGTTAAACTGTAAAGATAATCAAAATATTATTTTACATAGAGCTTTGATAATTGACTAGTTTAAAGTATGTGTTAATTAAGAGTATTAATATCGCAATTATAAATATTTTAATTTAAAGTAAATGTTAATAAAAGTATTAGATATCCTAAAATGCCTAAATATTCCTTAATTGCACAATTTGAAGTGAGTGTTAAAAGATAAAGATATTTAATATTAAACTAACAAAAATCAAATATATGTGTGTTAAGCCAAACACCAAGACGAAAGTCGGCTCTGCATTGCAGTTGCATAACTGAGATACGGAAGGAGAATCGCAGGTCCTTCGAAACAGCAACCAAACTCATATGTTCAGACAGACATTGGTTTCGCTAGGACGACTGTAGAGGGCGTTGCGCAACGGAAGTGCATCGCAGCCATATAATACATACTAACATAATGTAGTTTTTGCCGTGCAGTTGGCTTTTATGGCACTCGAAACGTGTGTCTGCGTGCAGCTCAAAGGTGAGTGTTGTTTCTAAGAAGCTTCTTAGCTGCCGGTTGCTCATCGCTGTTGCCACTTTAGCTGCCGTTGTAGTTGCAACTATTGCTGCTGCTGCTGTTGTGCACTTTCGACCCAGTCAGCCGTGGCAAATTGCAAACTAATTTATTAAAAACGGATATATGAGCAGAATTTATATATACACCACCGGGACTCAGCTCATTGCGCTGCAATATTGCCGGAGTTCATAATTTCTGGCCTGGCTGGATGGTAAATAATGTGCTGTCAGCATGTCAACGGCTATACATTCAACCCTACTGCAGCTCCTTCCTTTTTGTTTATTGTGTGTGTGGGTTATCGCTTTGGGTTTTAAACATTTTTGCTCATTATGGGCTGTGAACACCAGCAAAACTGAGCTTTTCTGACTGACTTGCTCACAGTTGGCATTTGAAATATGATCCGGTGTGGAAGATGTTAGCTTTTCAGCCATTTAGTTTCATTTCTCAACTGACTGCTGTCAACTGCAGCTGGGAATGTAGATTTTGCCTCCACTTTTGCTCCATTGTCTCTTTTGACACCGAGATGGCAATTCTCTGGGCTAGCTAAAGGTAATCATATCTCTGCATTTTCCAGCATAAGTTGTCAATCAAAGCGAGTTGAGTCCACCGTTTCTCTGTTGCTCAAAAGGTAACTAAGTCTCCATTCAGCTGAGGCAAAATAGATTGCAATCTGATATTTGAGAACACGTCAGTGAGCTTCAATTAGGGACATCTCTGATTGGAGCTTTAGCCCCTTTGTCCATTTTGTTAATTTGCCAGCCAGATGAGCTCCTACTTTTCAGAAATAATGTGCCATGAAAAATTCCGAAAGACCGAAAGTTGCAGCACTTAATTGCCAAAACCCCCAAAGGGCCAAGTTGTGAAATATTGATACTCGTACTTATGCATAAAGGCCGGGCCATCCCGAACATCCCGGCACTCCATTACCACGTATTGAGCTCGATAAAACCAGCTCGTTTCAAGGGTCTCTCGGCTCATTTTAAGCGCACTTTAATGGCAATTATACGCCTGAGTAGCTGTTTGTGTTGGCAAACTTTTGCCAGCGGGTTGAGCGGTATATTGGGTGGGGAGTAAAAAGCGTCAACATCACCAGACACTGGAAAGCCGGCAAGCAAAACAAACAACCCACATACACATCGTATACTACTCGCAAAACACCAGACGATCCTGCAGGATGTTGTGACTCGACATAAATCCTTCGCCGTATCTGTGTGTGTGTGTGTTTGAGCGTATAAAATACTTGCAAACATTTTGCTGCTGCACGCACCAGATTATTAAAGTTCTGTGTAAATAGTTTATGGTAATCATAAAAGATATACCAAGCATTTTCGCTTTACGAGCATTGGTGGCGCAAAAATGAGGCGGTGTCCATTAAACTGTGAACATGAAATATCACTCATACGCCCGGTTCTCCGATATGACTTTTAACTCTTTTGTATCTATGAAATTTTGGAGGCAAAGTGCCTTTGCTACCGCGTAACTTTGTCATTTGTCAATTAAAATAATCAAGAAAGTCGCTTCAAAGTCACCGTTGCACATCAAAAATAACAGCTTGCCACCTGAGTCGCAAATTTTTATGATGCACATCAATTTCCCAAACAAAAATTGCTCCTCCGCACACATAACTTCGACCAGAGGATTCTGGAAAAGGGTTAAAACTTTACTTTTCCCGCGCTAACTGATGGCCGCTGCCTGTCATTTTTCAAAAGGACTCCGTCTGGCACCCTCGCTTTTCTGACCATAAAATGCTGCCGAGCGTTTTTGTAGCTGTTTACGCTTTTGGCTTCATTTTGGCCGTCCGGCAATTATCAAAGTTTGAGCCAAAAGTGCTGATTAATTTTTAATGTTTATCTTTGTCGCCGTGCTCTTCTAACGCCCCTTTTGCTAGGTTACCTGCTTGAAAGTGCAGTGTCATTTCCGAAATTATAAAGTCATTTTGTAGCCCTTTTTCAGTTGAAATTTCGTAGGAAATGAATAGAGCCGAAGACATGCGCTGTTTTATCATTTTCGATATTTTAGTTCTATCATCTCACTGTATCAAGTGGCTGCTGAAAAATAAACACTCAATTCGATAGGGTCAATTAGTTTCTTTTGTCATTTCTTTAAAGGAAGAAGAAGTAAAGGTAATTAAGGAGAGCAATTCAAGATTGCACAAGTTAAAAATATCATATTTTATTTCTTTGAATGACAAGGCTAAATAATAAAGTTTTAGCCTATCTATAAGTATAACTTTCTAAATTAATTAAAATTAGTTTTTTATTATTTTATATTCTAAGGAAGGAGGTTTTGCAAATCGATAATCTGGAATTGTTTTACATATTAAATGAAAGTAAATTATGAATCGATTAAAGAACAATGAACAATTGATTTATAAATGTATAAGCATGTAAAGTTAAGCGCTGTTAGGCGATTAAATTTGTTACCAGAGATGTAACCCATTTGACGAATATTAGCTTCCAATATCGTGATCTGGCGTATGTGCAATCAGTGGCGGGGGGTCAGTGTCAATGACAGTGGCAGGGTGAAAGGGCGCAAGGGCATGTGCATATGCGTGGACATTGGTGGGAGTCTCATCAGCAGATTCGCGGTCAAATATCTGACCGGAGCCATGTTCATTGCGTGTTGTGGCTTTTGTCATTGGCCTGCGAAGTGGGCTGCTGGATTTGGGCTCTTTTGGCAAGGACCCATTGCCGCTGGCTGTGGTGACCAGTGGTCAGATGAGCAAAATTCCTAACGAAGCGGTTAATGTGGGCAGTGCAATTATGAATTTATGCGTATTTATCCCGCTGCAAGCGCAATTTACTATTTACATTCATGTAGATGTGCAATCGCAGACAAGCGTTGAATTGCACGCATGCTTATTATATTTGATTTTAAGTTGGTTTTTCATCGCTTTGCGGTTTACTGGTACATAGGTATGTGGCATATAAATGCTAATAATGTGGCCAGCGGTAAATTAAATTAATAAATTTCACTACACTGTGAAATAAAATAAAATGAAAATAAAATAATAATTTTAAGCTTCTGATATTGAACATCTCAAAGTTGCATTAGTCTTTAAGTTCTTTTTTAAACTTTACATAACCTTATTTTAAAATAAATGGAAAAAGGCAAAATAATTTCAAAATTTTTTTGCATTACTTACTATTTCAGTATAATGTTTTTTGTTTCGGGTAACAGTTTATAAATCAATAATTTAGTTCTTAAATTTAGTTGTACAATTTTTCCTACAATTATTACTTAAATTCCAGAGTAATCGAGTGTGGTGTAAATGAGTTCCTCATTTCGCCTTCAAAAATGAAGTCGAACGGCTTCCACGCCAATTAGAGTTAATTTCATTAGCCGGCAATAACTTGCAGCACTTTCCACCAGAAACTACTGGTTCGACTTTTCGCGACCCTTTCCCCTTTCGGAACTTTACTTTTTGGCTAATTTTGTTGCTGTTTCGTTAACGCCTCGCTGAAGTTGAACGTCGCGTTTATTTGTGCGTCATTGTTGCTACTCCTGCTGCTTTCTGCTGCTGTTGCTGCTAAAAGTTGTTGCTGCCGGAGTTACATTTGGCAATTAGCCGCTGCATTTTCTTGCACTTTCACCACTTTTGCATTGCAGCAGAGTCCGCTTTCCACCCATCGCACTTCAATACATATTTATTAGCCGCATTTGTTGGATTTTAGCTCAATTAAAAAGTTTTACTCGGCTACTTTTCTTCATTTGGGACCCGCCTTCTGACTCCGACTTCAACTTCGACTCGGGATGTCTTGTTTTGTTTTGCTGGGAGCTGCGATCTAGGAGCTGGAAGCCTTGAAGCTGCTCTGCAGCTGCTGTCTTTTTACTTTTCTTTGCTCCACAGCACTAATTGCCATTACTTTGGCCCGGCTACCCTGAGGTCAACAGCAAAAATACAAAGGGCTAAGCTAAACGTGAAATACTCTAGCATCTGAGAAAAAATATATATTATTATTAGAAATATTTTAATTAACCATTTTATAAATCAATAAATAAATTGTATCTGTGTAAGGATTGCCAAAATATTAAACATCTTAAAGCTATTAAACATAATAAGGTATATCTATTTAGTTTTTTATTATTCGTATGCAATGTTTTCTAAGTCTTTTATTTGTTGGGATTAAAAGAACTTTCTTTAAGAATTTGAATTCTTATTGATCATTATTTTTTATAGGTTTACTGATAAGAACTCATTGATTAAAATTGAATTAGAACAACACGATACAATTAAACATTACCATTTATACAATATTTTATACTTATAGTAAAAGTGGTACATCCTTTCGAAGGAGGGTATAAAAAGTTTGAGTGGCGCTTGAAAACCAGATTAAGTTTTTATTATTTGGAACTTAACATCATATGCATATATAGTAGAAGTTAAGCGAGCTGCCGAACTCAGCCCAGCAGATGATTGCCGGTGGCACTCCAGCCGGGTGCCACGTAGTGGGGTCGCTGCTTGTGCACCACCGTGCGCACCACTGGCACTTTGACCGGATACGGATAATATACTGGCGAGACGACCGGCTTCTCCACTCGGTACGGCACCCTGCGCTCCACCACAAATGGAATGGGTCGCTCCACGGGCACTGGTTTCACCCGCTCGATGGGAATCTTCACCTCCTGCAGCTGAGGAACTGCCACAGTTTGGGCCACGGGTATTTTAATGGGCAACGGTTTCGGTATGGCAGCAATCACCGTGCGGGGCACTTGCATCTGGACAGTCTGCTTGTAGGGAACATGCTGTTTCTGGTAGTGGGTGACGGGCACATTCTTCGTGATTTCGATGTGCTTGGCCAGCGGAAATCCGGCAATGGCTTTGCTGCTCTCTGGAGTATGGCGAACGCTGGTGGTTATGGCCGGCAGATCGGCAGTCTGGCTGTCCTTGTGGGAGTACAACAGTTGCTGATCCTGGGCAACTCCAAGTCGTTGTTGCTGTCGTTGATCATGGGAATTTGGATGCTTCTGTTGCAGATGTTGCAGATGTCTTGCCTCCAGTTGCTGATGTTGGAGCTGTCTTGCCTCCAGTTGATGTTGTTGCAGCTGTCTTGGTTCCAATTGCTGATGTTGCAGTTGTCTTGCCTCCAGTTGCAGTTGTTGCAGCTGCCTACTTTCCGATTGGTGATGTTGCAGTTGTCTTGACTCCAAATGCTGATGTTGTCCCTGTTCCAGTTGCTCCAATTGCTGTTGCTGTTGTAGATCCTGATTTTGGTGATGACTCGATAAGGATGCCTCCTGCTGACGCTTCACAGGGTTAGCCAATGTTTGGAGCTCTTTGAGCCGCGCATAGACACTGGATTTGTCCTTCTGCTGATCCTGTTGCTCCTGTGGCCCCTTCTCGCGATAATTGGAAATTTGTTCGAAATGGTAATGACTGGGTGGCGACGTGGGAAACGGCACCCGCGACCGATATGCATAGCTTTCGTAGGGCTCCCTGTGCCGGGACTCCTCCTCATAGCCACCGGAATTGGAATTTGGCTCATAATTTGCCGTATTAATGACAAAATCGATATTTGCCGATGGGTCGCGACGCGGCTCCTCATCCTCGGTGAATTGCGAGTGCAGTTTGGTGCCGCCGAAGTAGAAGGGCACAAAGCCATTGGCCGTGGTGCCCAGGGAGGAGGAGGAGGTGGCGGCCAGGGGATGTGGATTGTGGTGGGTGGCGGCCAGGAGCTTGTGAGCATAATTTCCATATGTTGCCAAGTCATCGGCCGTTGCAGTGTCAGTGGGGCCATAATAATTTCGCGTATATCCTGTTAATCCCGACAGCGATTCCGCCGCACTCGTTTCCTGCTGGTAATGGTGTTTGCCATGTTCGAACGGCAGAATAGGAAACTCCGCCAGCGACAAAGGCAGTGGGGCTTCTATGGCCTCCATTGTCATGGCCAACGAGAGCCAAACTAATGCATAGATCATTAATGAACCGTTGGCATGTCGACCATGGACCTGGCCAGAATTCGGCGGCCTCATAACGGCGTGGGTGTCCTGGCTGTTGTGTCCTATTCCTGGAGCGGAGTGCGTGTTTGGATGCAGCTGGCGTGGGTGTTGCTCCGCTTTGAAATGCAAATTTGTGACATCGCGTTGGCGTTTTTATAACACACCCTTCAAATGGCTAGGGCCCGCACTACTTGTAATTGGATCTTTGGTCGGTCGGCACTTCAAGTTCATTGGCTCTCAGCTCGGGATTGTGTAAGTGGAGGCCCTCACTTTCACTTGGCGGCCCAGCTGCCCAGATTGTCCCTTTCAGATGCAAGTGAAGCGATCCGCTGTCCGCAATCCAAAATCCGCAGTCACCGCAATTGCAGGGCCGACTTATTGGACAGTGGTTACAGTGGGAAAGATATTTGTATCTAATCTGAGACATCCAACATATCAAAAATAACCAAACTTTATTAGTTCATCATAAATATGGCTATGTTGTAAATGGCTTAGAACAATATAAACAGCAATTAAAGTCGTCAAGAAATAACATAGACCTAAATTAAGTGAAAAATAAATAAATCTTCTTTGTAAGCTTAAAAAAGGTTTTAAACAGAGATGTACGTCTATTTAAAGTTTAAGTCTTATACTCACTTTAACTTAATAGTTATTTCATTGATATAGTGTAAGTACAAGTTTATACGTTTCTTGTTTAAGTTTATAAGTTTGGGTACATCAATAAAACTAGTGAATGAATGTCGTATTTTCTAGACAAGGATTGGATTTAGAGAATAGATTTAGTTTAAATGAAAAGATCTTACATTTGAATGCAATTTTTAATAGATTTTCCTCCGCTTTGCGTCACTATGCGCCGGTTGGCTCCCAGCCGCATCGGATTTCACACTGTGGAAGTTTGCGGTCAATGTCGCGTCCATTTCGATGTTTGATTGCACAAATGGTGACGCTCGGTGACGCGCGTTTCATGTGCTTGCGGTGCGGTCTTTGCCAAGTGGAATCGCCGGGGATTCGTGGTCATATGAAACTCGGTACGGATCTCAGGTTGCTGCACTTTCAGTTTTCAATTGGATGCAGTCGACGACATTTGCTATTGATGTTCTTGCATAATTTACCTGCCACGCCCCCCCTACTCACACACAGAGTCACTTACTGAATCTGACAATACGCCTTCGAGGGGAAGTGATTCAATTTTAAACAACCTTTGAGAAAATAAGATTTTCCGCTATTTTAGCATGCACTAAAGAAACAAGTGTTCAATAAAAAGACACACAGTTTTAAGGTAATATAAATATTGTGTTTGATTCAGCTCAAATGATGATAGATTTTCATTTGGTAAAATAATAATTACATTTTGATTTTAATTTGATTGGAGAATATTACTTTAAGTAGATATAACCAATTTCAATGTATGGTTATTTATCCAATTTCAATGTATGGTTATTTATCCAATTCTTTTGTTAATGGAAATTTAAAATTGGAATTTCAAAAAAAGTTTAAGTCTTAAATTAAATTCGTTAATTTGGCGAGCCTTTTAAGAGACGACCAATGTGGTTGGCATTTTTTTTCTCTGTATAGTAGTTGTCTCAAGTTGGAAATCAAATATTTCCTTACCAGCAAAGAGAAAGTGGGCGAAACACGGAGATAAAGTGAGTTCTAAGGTTTGCTAGCCGAGCATCTTTGGATCATTCATCATTCTGCTCTGCGTTTAAGTTTGAAAAGTTCACCAGGTTGGCAAAGCCACCTATACATACACCTACCTCGGCCACGCCCCCTTTCACCACCACCAGTACCAGGACCAACATCAGCGCCCCCCGTCACCGCACTTTCGGCACAAAGTATTTGCACAATTGCTGCTCGAGTTGCGCCCGAAATGACAGCGCAAAGTACACGTAAAGTGTATTTTCACATTGAATGAGGTTAAGCTTCGTTAAATTTTGCGCAGTTTGGGTGTATAGTAACAGCACCCCCCCTCCCCAGGAAACCACTTTTCGAATATGTGTGTGTGTGTGTGGGCTTGGGTGTGAGCGTGGTTACTTGTTGGATGCAATTTTTTTCGCTTCGTTTTCATTACTTCAAATGCTTTCAAGTCTTGTGAAGCATATTTTAGCAAAGCTCCCATAGAAAAGAAGCCAGCCAGCTAGCCAGCCAGCTTAACATGGCTCGATGGGGTGGTCAAAATATAGAGCACAAAAAAAAAAATGGGAGAACAAAATCTACGAAGCGATGGCAAAGTTAAATGCTTGCATACACATACTTATTAAAGTTCAAAGTTTCCTTTGGCGCTCTGCATAAAATCCATCATAAAATTAACAGGCGGAGAAGCAGCAGCTTTTGCTGTGACACTGAAACTTCATTAAGTCACGTTAAAACGTTAAAATGAGGAAACGGTCGAAGGCAGGGTAAAATCCACAAGCAAAAACAGAAGCCATGAGCCATGAGCCAAGGCAGCTTGCAAATAGCCAAGAAATTCCGGCTATGGCATAGTTGGCAACGTCGCTGGCTTTTGTTTGACCAGTTGCGATGGTGGTGGGGGTAATCGGGGGATCGGGGGTCTAGGGGTTTTCTGGGCGGTCCTGGGTCGACAGAGGGGTCTGCCCGGTCAGCGTTGCATGCGAATTTAATCAAGTCATGCAATAGAATTTACGGTTCCATTGCCTTTAGGCCGTCGATGCGGTGGCCGTAGTCCATTGCTGGTCCACAGATTCGGCCCAAAACTTGGCCTTGGCTATAGTTGAGGGTCTAATGCGAACTGACGTCTTTTCTCCCGTCCTTCCATTCCTCAATGTCCTCTGGCTTTATTCCTGGAAATGTGCCGCCTGTTTGTGTTGCTTCTTGTGTTTTTTGTTCAATGCTTGGTTTAAAACAATTTGCGGTCCAAAGGTGGCAGAGTGTGGGTTCAAAGTTTTTGAGGCAATTTTTTTTAGCACAGGACAAATTCTTATTCTTGATTAAATTCTTTAAATTAGAATTTATAATTTTAAATTGCATTTTCGACCCTTTTATTTACTACTGTTTTATGAAGAAGTAAATATTTGCATACGAGTGTATGAAAAACGTAATAATAATATAGGTAAAGGATTTTTTCATTGCAGAGCATAAATTTTTTGGGTAAAAACATTTGATTCTTTTTGTAGTTTATTAGAAGAGAATTGAGCCAAAACTCAGTTGGAGATTTCTTAGCGCACATATACAAATCATTATTAAATATTAAATTAAGTACCTACCAATGAGTTTAAAATTTGCATAAGTTCTTTGAACTGTGGCAAAGTTTAAAATATTATCCATATCCTTCACTTTTTGTTCAGTGTTTGCCCCCCTACTTATTTACTGGTTCAAGCAACTTTTTTGGAATTCCTTGGCAAAAGTAACTGGCATTTCATTGCCTTGTTTCAATGGAGGAGACAGGTCGAGTTGTTGACTCAGGTGACCGAGGACACAGCCTCGCGTTTTGTGTAAACTTTTTGATTGACTTGAATGTCAGCGCTGGCAGGTCCTTGGCCGCTAGCTTTTAAATAAATATTAACAGGCCTAATGTGCTGAAAAGTGACCAAGTGATGTAGAGAAGAGGAAAAAGCGAAAAAAGCAATTTTTCATTACCTTCCCTTCTGGCCAAACGGCGTGTGAGGCCTCTTTGCTAGATTCCTGCGCTGGCCTGTTGAAAATTTGCAAACCGCAATAAAAATTCCACGCCGCGGCTCTTAATTGGTCTTTCTTCAGGACGGAGGAGTTCCTTGCTCTTTTCCTTTTGCTTGTCTTGGCCACCATCTCCTATTTCATTTGATTTTCTGTTGGGTTTTGTTTTCGCCTACGTTCCACACAAATGCAAATTTCAATTACGCGTATTGCGGGGCCAAATTGAAATGCCTTGGAAAATATTTTCCTGCCCTCGGTCATAAGAAATGCAACGCGGGTTTCGGTTCGTTTCGTTTCGTTTCAGTTCAGCTAAATAAATTCCCCTTTTCGCCCCCGATCAACAATTGCGTGCATTTCATTTGCATTTGGAATGCGGGGCGGCAAGTTCGGTCTTACTTGAAATTTATTTGCTAATTTTGTAACATGTGTCCTGTTTGGACTAAGTTGAAAACTTTTCACTCGAAATTTGAATGGCAATTGGATGGCGGGCAAAATCCATTTGGTCTTTGCGGCTAATGAAATTTTCATTTTCTTGGCTGGCCGAAAAGTTTTCCATCTTCTCTTTGCGGCTTTTGCGGCTGTTGGAAGGCCATTCTAGGAATTATTTCATTTAATTGCCATTGAAATATTTAATATTAATTAATGTGCCTTAATTGCTGTTGCTTCCGCTGCTCCTTCAACTCATTAAAAACACATCAGCTCGGCCTCACACATCTTGGTCACGCTCTTGTGGCCGACGCTCATCATATTAGGAGTATTAATCTTAATAATTGCTGCATATTGCTGGAAAGAATGCCGCAAAACAATGCCAAAAGTTGGCGAAACAAAAGCCACAAGTCGGAATGTCCTTTCGCCTTTCATTCCAACTTTTCCTCCCGTTGTTTGTCTTTCATTTATGACGCAGGACTGACCTTATGTCTTTAACGTTTGCCGAATTATTAATGAATTTCGCTCTCAAGTGGGATTTTCCTTGAGGTCACGGCTCGTGCACAAATAGAATTCGACATCAAAGTAAAATTGTGGGCTTAATCGATTGGCGGTTTTTTCCTAGAAAAAAAATTCGCTATTGTCTTGATGCATTTTATTTCATTTCTTATTAATTAGAAAAATATATTATTATGTGTATAAAAACACAATAAGAGAGGATTTTTTTTTCTGCAAAATTGTATTTTGTAATGTATGTCAAATTCAATTCGGTTTATATCGCTTACACAAGCCATCAAATTTAATGAATTTACTTTTATATCGGTCATACGGATTCCATAAATACTACTGCATTTGCATACGTTTTTTTCAGGTTCTCTCAAGTTCTTTCCTCCTCTTGACTAGTTACAGTGACATTAATCCATTCAGATTATTGGCATCCGACGACAATCCTAACGAAAATGGACATATCTGGCACGTCAGGAGCATTCTTTTTACTTTGCTACTGATATAGAGCAGCTTTTAG